GATGATATTTTTTCAGAGGAAGTACAAATTAATAGTACATCTTCTTCACAAATCATACAAATGTGAAAATTTATAACAACTGGTTATACATAATGAAATAAGGAGGTTAAATCGTAGCAAAGATTTACATTCTTCTCAGCAACAACAACAGAAACAAAATTAACTACATAATTCTCATCAAATGAATATAAATTCCATTTAATGCGTATTCCTCTAAAGGAACATTACCTTCAGAGCCTAAAAATGGGTTTCTGGTAAACAATCTTATCTGAGATTCTTATCTTCTCTCTGTCATTATATGCAATAATATTCACAAGTTCTGTAACTGAGATTTATATTTCCTTTTTGTATGCAGAACTACATGTCAACATAGAATTTATGAACCCACACTTTGTCAAAACCTTATTTACATTATTTTTCTGTTTTATAGCTACTGATGATTCAAAAACAGTCAATTAGGGATATTCCCATTCAGATAAATTTACAATTTTAATAAAATACATTTTTTTTTTTTTTTTTTTTTTTTTTTTTTTTTTTTTTCATTATTCACTTTTCTATATCAGAAATAAAATGGCTAGGATATATCAGTTATACTGTATGAAGGTTATTATCCCTAATGACTTGATTAAAACTTGATATGCAAGTATAATGTCAATCCATTTTTGGTGAGAATAGTTTATCTTGATATTTTATGGCTTGGCCTGTTAAACCCAGTTACTAACTGTGTTAAAAACTTGGATTACTGCTGATCTAAGGTTAATGGTAGTGAAATATAAAACCATAACTCAGCTAGATTTCGTTACATTTTAATACAGTTACTTTTTCTCTCTTTCTTTTAAATCCAGTACCTTTGCCTAAAAACAAAAAGTACTGAACAATCAACATCTAGCACAACTAGGGAACTCTGCACACTCCATAGTGTCATGAAAAGTTATTATTTGAAAGACTAAATAAGAAAATAAATCACATTTCTTCACTTCTTACCCTCGGGCAGCCAGGGATGCAGCCTCAAAGTCAAGTCTGCGGTCCTTCATCTGGGGACCATCCTTCTCAGCAACAACAGGAGAGTGAGAGCAGTGCCGAACATCCTTGAGAATATGTCGAGTCATTAATAAACAGGCATAACATTAACACACGTAAACATTATTTTTCATACTGGTCAATGGCACATATTACAAGTTCCAGAAGACTTACCACCTGAAAAAAATAAATAAATAAAAAATAAAAAATAATAAAAAAAGGATCAACAACAATAATACCCCATTTTATATACATCTCCTGTGAAAGGCTTTTATAACTATCATATTTAAGTAAACGAAACAATCTTAAAACAAAAGAGCCATTTATTTCACAAAATAGTGATAGATCTTTGATACTCTGACAAGCGCAAAATAGCCTCGACAATGTATACACTTGCAAGATAGAGAGCTTGGACAGATACCTTATTTACCTCTAAATAATATAACAAACCATAATGGTCATGACCACACTAATTCATATTTCCTAATTTCTTACTTGTCAATTGTGCAAGTAATTATACCTTAATAAAACTTGACTATTACACTATAGGACTAACACTACTGAAGGTCTAGCAATTAAACAACAACAATAACAACACCACCACCAACAACAACAGATCATAAGTTCTGGAATGATAGTTTCAGACCTCCTGGTTAATTATTCCTAATATAAGGAATCATTCCTGGCTTTATTTTGCTTGAATTCATATAGAGGAAGTTTCTTGGCCCTTCTTAGAGTGGTAGTGGTGTTGAGGCCATAGCAAATTATTAGGGAGGATTGTTGACTTTCCATCAAACAAGTTACCAGTAAATCTGGACAGAACACTGTCAATCTAATTATGTGATAAGTGTCACATTTTGAAAACCACAGAATTAATCTACAATTTTTCCTAGTAAATGTTCACTAGAGACCAGCAGTGCTTTTTAACCCATTCATGATGGTTGATGTCAAATCAAATCATGGCAAAAATTCAACTAATCCCTAGAGATACCTTATCAGATCATGAGCCTGGGTTTTAGCAGCTGGGACGATGCCTTGAGAGCAAGTCCATGAACCAAACTGTAGATCAGATGTAAACCAGAATACACTAACACACCTCAGCCTCACCAAACTTAAAAAGAGAATTCTTTTCTCACAATTTTAATGGCTGTGCTCTATAAAAATCTACTTTAACCTTGCTGTCGTCTTTTACAGAAAGTCGACAACTTCAAGTCCAACTTGACAACACAGTATCAAGTGACTGCTGTGACATACATGCTTCAATCTCCATCAAATGACAGGAAATCTCTATCTTGAATACAAAAGCAAAGTAGGGCTTGATCTGGTTCTGTCTCATGATACACTGCAGGTAGATGTACAAACTCTAGCTTACTAGATCGTAACTGGTTTACTGGCCTTTATGAAAATGCCAATAGCTATTACTCTATTTTCTTATATGCTGTAAACATTGTAATTTTAAAAGTAGAGTTATAATGTTTTTAGCTGAGGTACTTGGTCTAAAAGCATGCATGGGTGCACCCTCCATCGCTGAGAATTTTGCTACTGGGCACAAAGAAAACACACAGTATTTCTGTACAAAAGCTACATGCCACTGTATTGGTGGATTGAATTTGATATCTACTGTTTAGGTTTAATAATTTTAGTTTAAGAAAACCAGCAAATGTAAGAAGAGCATGAAATATACCTTGGAAATTGTGGGGTCTGCATAAGAATGTACATGTAACAAGGAAATATCATACTAATAACACCCACATAATAACTTACATATGTTCCCTGGTACCTTACGTATAGAAGATTACACTACAGTTCTATGAGAGCAATTTTGGCAAATTTCAGCTTGAGGCTAACTTTCTATTTGAGATAAAGGTTAATGTTACCAAGTGTGATGCACACATAGTGGAAAATGGACACTGCCATCTTACAGTGAATAAAAAATAGAGTAATAAACAACACAGGTACAGCTGCTCAGGCCTCATATTTACCACAAAATGACAAAAAATATCAGCTGCAAATCACTGCTCAAAGACTAAGTCCACAACACTACAGCCAGAGTTCTTAATGTCTGTTTTCTGTAAGTTGGCATGAAGTGCTAATAAATGGGGGTACAGGGTAGTTTGCCCCCCCCCCTCATGTCTAGGGAATAAATAGAAGGTAGGAAAGGTTAGGTTTGTATTTTGGGTTCAGAGAGATACCCTGGTTTTGGGACTTTATCTCTATAGGGTGCATTGTTCTTGGAAACAAATACGGAGATAAACTGCCTAGGAGGACTAAAACCTACCTTATGTGAGGTGAAAATGGTTTGAAGCCATTTGCTCGTGAACTGGATATGAGTGTCTAAACTTTTGCAGTTCTTTCTGACTCTCATAAAAAACACATTGTAAACTATAGGCCAACTTAATGAGCGTTACAGCAACTACTCAATTACTAATTACTCAATTAACTATCAGCTGGGAGTGGATATGATGATATGGACAACTAACCAGCTCAATAATACTTACCTTTTAATAATATATTCTGCCTTTATCAGATTCTAATGCCGTAATAACACCCAGGCAAATAAGCTTGTACTAGGGCATGCACACACAATATGACAGAACCCTGGGACCAAGAATAATAATAATAAAAATAAATAAAAGAAAGAGTTACACTTACATACTTTGTAATAAATGAACAAATGTAATGAATTGGATACGAATTGATTCCCAGTAGCTCTCACTCCGACAAGAAACTCACGGCGAGTCTGAATGGTTACGTTCTTAAGTCATTTTATTTTCTTTATTTATATTTTTATTTTCTTTATTAATTTTTATTCTTATTTTATTTCATTTTAGCATCATTTTATCCGGGCTGAAAATTTCTCGACAAATAAAAAAAAAAATAGAGAGAGAAATTTGCACATCCCTAAAAAGATTGATATCCTAAGGTTTATATGCGTTTACTTATATCGACACGCTAAAAACTTATATTAAAAGTATTAAAAAAAACGTATATTAAAAGTATTAAAAGTATAGCATTTCGAATACAAAGAGGGTATTATTATGCTTAAAAGTAACTAATAAACAAGACTTTTGAATAACAATTTGTTACTGATGTTTAAGTCATGTATGCTGCCTGTTCTATAACCGTGAAAAAACCGCTGAGTTGCTCCTTTCACAAATTAAAACCTGGTAATACACAATGACAGGAAGCCACGATAAAAGGCGATGTCAACGATGATAATTTCGTAAAATATTTCCATAAACAAACTAAGGGTTCCGAAGCCTCTAGTAAATTCAGACTCCCATCTACGATATCAGAACTCTAATGTTACCGCTTGTGCCATCAATAATTCTAAGTCATCTAAAAATAGGTGCAATTACCTGGAAAATCGGTAACGGTCTATAGTTTAAGATATTTTTCAGATTTTGCGAGGATTGGAGCAGACGAAGCTTTGTTATGGAGGCGGCCATGATGGATAAGTCACGTGACCTGCATTGACCAATCAGAGCATTGGATTGTTTGAGTGTCTAGAGTGTATTCGAGTTTTCTAGATTCTGGATAGATGAGTAAGTCCGTCCTGTAACTTTTAGTTTGATATACAGCTAAATTCGCTCTTTGAAGGTTACATGGACTGCTCGATACATTCAACATGTCATTCTAGCTCTTTGAAATACAAGTGTTCATCTCCGGCTTCGGGAATTCCGCGCTGCGCAAAATCACCGATCCGAGAATCGTGAAAATCTGAATACTTTCTAAGCGAACCCGGCCAGCCAATCAGCGGCCGAGTCTCACACCGCTGGGGCTCGAACTCCTCCGCCAAACACCCATACTCTTTACAAACTATTTCCACTCGCACACACAACCAAACGCTCCATCAAACTATACCCACGATTATAATCCCCAGATTTAACATTCCAATCTAAAAAATACCAAAGGCCCAGAATTTCATCCTTCATGACCCATCTCTCGAAAGGGGCTAAAAGACGGCTTTTGACAGCGGAGGTCGGAGCATTGTTGGAACGCCTCTCGTTTCCCCTCCGCCATTACAGTGAGATCCATGGAGTGATTGTGGTTATCGGGTGATTTTCCAGTGATTAATCCATAGTGTGTGGGTTGAGACCAATCCAAGTGTCGTGTCAAAAATGGATATATGATGTCTACGCACTCTCAGACGAACGGGGCAAGCTTAGAAGATTGCCACACCAATTTCTTCGCCCTGGTAAGTACATGAGTTTTTGAATGAAAGTGACCGACTGTTGTTGTGATATTTACCTCCTCTTTTTCTCTCCCTCTTCGCTTTAATCTACTCCGTATATCTCCTCCTGGCTGCGTTGGCTTTCTCTCTCACCTGCTAGAGGATCGAGAAGAGCTAAAAACCGCTGTTATGACCCGAAATTCCTCGTCAAAAACAGGCCCGAAAGATGTACTATTCAGCTTAAGGAGACGAATCGCAGCGGGATTTTTGCTTTGGCCTACATTACTCCTAAGTCATTATTCCCCCGTTTTAGCCGGTCAGGAGGCGTCTCTTCCCCTGCTTTCCCTCTGTGTCGTTGTGCATGGACGCGAAATGGCTTGAAAAACGGGGGGATCCAGTGCTCTCGGCCCAAAAATGCTGCGGGGGTTCGTCATTTTGGACTTGTGTCACGTCGTTAAGGTCGAGAATCCCGTCCGCTGCCGAAGGAATAGGTGGGGGGGAGAGGGGGAGGGCCGGGAGTGGGGGGAGAGGGGGGGGGGGGTCGTAGGTGAAATCTAGCCATGAATTTTTCGCTGTTCTTTTTTTTTGACTGATTTTCCTTTGCATTTCTTTTGGGCTTTCTTTTTTTTTTTTTTTTTTTAATTCTCTCGTTAGCTCGTGTCTCTCCGGGAACGGTGCTCTCTCTCTCTCTCTCTCGAGGTGTGTCATGACGGAGGGCGTGATAACCAAGTTCCCCCTAAATTGTGCTTTCGCCTTATTGGCTCAGGGTCATTTTTTTTTACTCACATACTTTTGTTTTATAATTTCGCAGTATATTTCAAGTAAAGATGATGTGGAATGGAAGCTGGGGTGGATAACGGTGGAGGAGGAGGGGGGGGGGGAAGGTAGTCAGCAAGGTCCTAGTCCCCCCCCCCACACCAGCCAAACTTGGCTATTTATTTTGATCCCGATATTACGCAAATGCATTCCCCCGGCCTTCTTTTTTTCCCTCCCTGTTGCTGAATTGAACTTCTGGCCGATTGCAAAGACAGCTTGGACACGACGAACAGTAAAATGATGATGCTCGTTCGGCCCGTGCTCGGGAGCGGTGAACATGGCCTGGACGGTTTGGAGCAGGAGCGAGGGAGTTTAGTGTGCTGTAGTGTAGCATAATGTAGTGATTTTTTTCCTCTTTTTGGAAGGGGGGGGGGTGTGGGGGGTTGTCAATTTGTGCGATCCTGCATTTCATCGTCTTCGCCGTATCGACTTCTGTCATTGCTTGCGGGGGTTGGTACCGTTTGCCGTGGGAGGCCTATGGCCAGGCTCTACTATTACCTCCACTATTGTTCGCAAAACACTCATCGCGTGTAGCATATTTGTCCACTTTTGCTCTCCTCCATTCTCGTCGTCTTTCTCCTTTCTTCCCATTTCGTCGCCCACCGCAGCTCCCTCCCCCCTCTCCCCACCTTTCCCCGAACCATCGTGGTCGTGTTTGGAACTGCTGTGTGGCGCGTGGACCTACGGATTGATTCGCGGGCCGGCCCTACCATTTTTTTGTTTTGCTCTCCCTCCCCTTCCTTTATTCTTCCACTCTCCCTCTCACTTTCTGTCTGTCTTTCATTCATTCTCACTGTCGTTCTTGCTTTCTCTTTCTTTGTATTTTCTCTTTACCCTTCACACACACACACACACACACACACACACACACACACACACACACACACACACACACACACACACACACACACACACACACACACACACACACACACAAATATACTGTCGATCAACATACATTATGACCTCTTATGTTCTTCTCCGTCCCTTTCCGAGTGGTTCTTTACTTGTTCCGTGTAATGGCAACTTACCCGCGGCCGACATGCCACTCGCGGTGCCTGTCTATAGAGTGGCGAATGGTGGGCCTTGTTTGTTTGTTTTGGCGATGACACGTGGGCCGAGGGTTAGAGGGAATTGAAATGGCGATTGCTCCCTTTCCTCCTTCGCCCTTGCCCTCCGCCGAGAGCGTCACGGGGTGGCATGCCTCTGCTCTTCTCCCGTTTCCCTTCTGTTGCCCTTCTTCCTCGAGTCTGCACCCGTCTTCTTTGACACACCCTCCCCTCCCTCTTTTTGTGTGGGGGGTGGGTAAGGTTTGTGATGTCGTGGGAATGTGCTTCTGGTGTTGTTTATATTGTCCCCTTATCTTGATAACGGTATAGCCGACTGCACTGTGCTCGTGTTCACGCTCGCTGACGGTCTTGTTTGTATTTCAATCTGTATAAGTCTGTTCCAATGCCAGGCTCTCCATGCGCATCCTTAGCAGTATATGTAGCCTTATTGCATAGTGTGGTGATCGTTGGATCTGTCACCCCCTCGCTTCCCCCGCCCGTCGCTCATTCTAGATGTGCATGACCTTGGCCTTTCTGCCATAGCATATACATAAGACGGGGTAAGGACAGAGGGTGGCTGCAGAAGAGTGAAGGATCACTCCTACGCTCCTACTAGCACTGTCTTGGCATCCGGGAATCCCCTCTCGGTGGGGGGTAAATTGTGAGTGGGTGTTCAGTTACCCTTTGGGGTCGGTAATGGGGGCGGAGGGGAGCGAGGGCACTGTGCGAGATTCAGACGCGCGTGAACGCGGCTTTAAATCCTCTTCGCATAATCATAAAGCGTTACACATGTTTACCAGCTTGTCGATGTTTTTTTTATGTATATAACGAGACGCTGGCAACTGTCAGTTGATTAACCTCAGTCAAGACGGTATTAGCCGATTAGACAACTGACACCGCCCCTCGAGTAGTCAGCTGTCCTGGATGCTGCGGCACGTGCTCTTTTATTTACCTAGTGCTGATGGAATGGGCGCTGTTTTCTTGCCCTTTACCATTGCTATCTTCTTTCCTCAGTGCATTTTCAGGTTGCAAGATATTTGTACCCCCTCCCCCTGTCATTGTGGTGAACAGATGTTGGGAGGTTTCGTAAAACTTTCTAAGATTGCGTGTGCGTGTCGTCTGACGGTTCACCTGTCAGTTTTGAAGTTTCTTCGACCCTCCCCCCCCCCTAGTCTCGACAGCTTCCTACTGTCAGTCCTTTGAAGCCCCGTCGCTCACTTCCCCTCATGCCTTAGCCTCAATTATGCCTTTTTTTCCCTTATGTCTTCCACAAATTTCCTTATTTCCTTCATATTTTTCCTTTCCGTTTACCTGTTTTCCTCAAATGCTCTCTTTCTTCCGTCTTATCTTCCTATCGCTACCCGAGTCGGTCAAGCCCTGATCACGTGGGTTGTTTCAGCGTGGTCTTTGCAAGGTTTAGAATTCTGAATGTAATTTGGCCTCCTTGCCATTCAGCGTGGAAGTGCGTTGAACTTCGCGAATGCAAGATGGGGACGAATCTCGTAGCATCTTGCTTCGCCCCTCCCCCTCTTCTTTCCGGTCTCCGTTCTCTTCCCTTCCTCATCATTCCCGAAGAATTAGTGCGAGGCGAGAGAGAGCGGAATTAAGAGTAGGTAGTTCATATAAATAGATATCCCGCTAGCGCCATCGTCTCTTTAAGTCGATTATGCCGTCCACCAAGAACGTTTTCCAATAACGGTCCTCTTCCCCCCCATCCCCCACCCCTTCCCTCGCCTTCCCCACGTCGTTTTCTGTGTTCGAGGTAGGAAGGGGGGAGGAGGGGACGAGCTAGCCAGCCCAAGCAGCTTCTCACCAGCTGCCCACTACTACTACTACCACCACAGTCGGTATGTTGGAAGCTTTTCGGAAGTGGTTTCTCTGCGCTGTGGCAACGAGGCGGGCGGTTGGAGGAGTACTCTCATTCTCCGTCTCCTGCCCTCTCTCCCACTCACGCTCCCTCGCCTTCCCCCTTTACCCCTCGCTTTCTGCATCTTCACTGTTCTGATAGATTTTTCAAGATGCGAGAGTGGCACCCTGATCACCCGGTGTGAAAATAGTTCGTTTTGCTTTTGGTTTTCTTTCCTTCCTCGTTTTTTTTTTCCAGTTCTTCCTTTTTGATAGAATGATATCGGAGTGTTCAATTGACTGCGCGTATCTGGGCGGATGTGTTCAACTCCGGATTTTGAATTAGGTGACATTTCCTGCCGCTGGCGTTTTCCCTTGATTGGCTCGTTGCCGGAATGCGAGTTGGGAGTGCAAGTCGAGTGCGGGAGGTTGTGACTGGGTGGGGTGGGGATAGGAAGGAGGGGGGGCGGTCGAGGCGTAGCCTACTTGACTTGGTAGATATTGACTGCCCTCTGACCTGGGTGTGACCTCGCCATCCCCCCCCCCTCCACCAATAGGACGATCGATCTGACCAAGTAGCAAACCGTAACCTCTGCCCCCTTCGAGCACCAACAAATACATTTTTCCTCCGCCCTGTTATTCAGTGTATCTCTCTCTCTCTCTCTCCCCCCCTCTCCCTCTCCCTCCCTCTCCCTCCCTCCCTTCCTTTTCGTTTCCGTTTCCGTTTCCCTGTTTGCCCTTGTATTTCATTTTCTTCCTTTATGTTTCTGACTCACAAGCACACGTTTTCTTTCTCTTTCTCGTTCTTAGGTCCTATATTTCTCCATTTCAGGCATTGCTGCATACTTTAGAAAGTTCTCGCTTTATTTTTTTTCTCCTTTCAAAATCCTTGCAATTCTGCTGAATGCCAATAGTTGCAGTTTCGCTTGGATCCACTTGTGTATAGTGTGTATGTGTGTGTGTGTGTGAGCGAACTTTTTCTACTTTGTGTAAGTTTTGGTTTTTGCGGCACCTGTTTCTAGTAGATTTGTTAGTAGCGGCTGTAGGTATTTGTATATTGATCTGCGGAAGGGAGCGGGCATGCATGGTGATTCAGCCGGCCTGGCTGGCGACCTACCTGTTGCCCCCTGGTGCCGCCACCTCCGCCGCGTGCCACACTGGAGTTCCATCCCCGCCATCGTTAGCGTCACAAGTGGTGCCACCTGTACTAGTGTACGGCACGGGTTGTCTGAAACTCCTGCTCTACTCTTGTAGGCCTAGTCAACAGAGAGATTTATTTATTCTGTAGAAGACTGCCAAGACATTGATCTTGAT